GACCATTTGTTATCTCTCATATCATGTTGTCTTATTTTACATATACGCACCAAAGATATCGCATTTACAATGCCTTGTTCTCCTATCTGCAAAGCTTGTGACAGTTCATTAGTGATACCAAGAATATCTTTCATAAGATGTAGGTAAAAGAAAAACTCAAAGATCTGTAACGATTCAAATAAAGTATATGCCTTACCTTTTTGTTCTGAGCTTACGCCATCATCCAAATAGATCTCCAGAATATAAATTAATGTAGAGAACATTGTAATAAACCTTAAAGTTGATTCATAGTGCAAACCCAACTGCGTTTCATCAGCACGCCTGAGGGTTATTTCTTGATTTAAGCCTTGCCCAGATAAAAGTTTTTCACTTTGTAATTCAATTCATTTAATGCCTCTCATGTTGTATTTCTCGCAGTTGATCGTGACGTTTACCAGAAACACCAACAAGATTAATTACACTCAAAATGATAGTACATAATAAAGCAATATGAATATGACTTTTTTACAACAGCCACCAACGCAAATTGAAGCTGATGTGAGAATCAATAAATGTAATGTGTTTATTGATTTTCATTTAGAAAAAAGAGTATTTAGACCATTAAAATCCCCTCTCATATTACTAGCACTATCATAGCCTTGACCCCGTATTCTAGAAATGCTCAAATAATATGTTGATAGGAGTTGTTTCGTCGCCATTTTAAGATTATTTGCAGTTGTATCTGATACATAAGAAATCCCTAAAAAATGTTCTACTATCTCACCTTTCTTGTTAACAAAACGGACTATGATTGTCATTTGCTCTTTATCGGATGTGTCACACGATTCATCAATTATAACTAAGTAAAATTTATCACCAATCTCCTCAGATATAAAGTTTGTAATTGCAATAGCGAATGCTCAAGTAATATTTTTTTGAATATCATGTGCAATTAACTTTAAATTCTCATGTGCATTCTTTAGAACCACATCTTATATGTATTTGTTATATTCAACCAAAAATGTTACCCGTTCAAGAAAATTATCCTGATTTTTGGATTTAGAAGACTCGTCATGTCCTCGGAAAACTAGCTCTTACTTCAAAAGAAATCTTATGCAATCATCAGAAGTATTAAGGTAGGTACGGTATTCATATGTAGCTTGATTTGATTGCTTTTGGCACACAAAATCAATATGTTGACTCTATTTCAGTAGGTCTTTACAACTACGTATGACATTATTATATGCACTATTATGACTTCCTACATGAAGATCAAATTTATTTGTTTTTTCCTCAATTTGAAAATTCATTTTTATTAAATGATTTTTCCTATTCATTGCCTCTACCTAATTTTTTGAACAGATAACAATAAAGACAATATGATTTGTCCTTGCTTATGTACACTCTAGTCAATCAAAGTACTTGTCAAGCCAAGTATGATTAAATCGTATGTCTTTCATCCCGAATTTAGTTTTTGAAAAATCATGATTGCAAGGTTGAAATGCCCCTCGATATAAATATATTCTACGAACTTCATCTAGAACATTAAGATTAAAGTTAGCAATAGGAATTCGTAGTCCTAAATCAAATGGAAGATTTTCAACAATCTAGTAGCACTAAACCTATAAATTGGTCCGGCTCTAATCCGTCGGAACTGGTCAGGGCTCGTCGAGGAGAATCAATTGCTGCCTTATTAGTTTACTGCTACTAGATTGATTCTCATTTTTCAATTCTTTTCAAGAAGAACCATATCAATGGAAATGTTCCCCAAACCAACTGCCATTGCCTCCCTTTCATCCTGCTATCTCTTCTCCCTATCAGAAACAGCAGTATCATCTAAAGAAGGCTCCAGTTTTTCTGATGGTTGTTGAATTCTGGGACATGGATCCAGCCATCAATGGAGCAGAAGCAGAGCAGTTGTTAGTCTCTTCTCAAGAACAAAATCAATACGTGTTTAAGGAAATCAACCATTTTGTTGGCATCTCGTGAGAAGATTCAAGCACCGGCTAGGGGTGCAACCGAGTCAAGCTGGCTCGCGAGCCGGCTCCGGGCCCACCCCGCAACAGGCCCCCCCGTCGACAACAGGCTCGAGGAGCCGAGCTAAACGAGCTCGCGAGTCGAGCTCGAACACAGTTTCGAGCTCGAATGCTTAACGAGCTCAAGCTTGAACAGGCATCCGACTCGGCTCGTCGGCTCGACGAGCAGCTCGACTTGGCGGGATTCACGGGATCGAGCTCGGGACGATGATGGCGGATCAGATCTCGACGGCGGAACTCGCAACGGACGCGACGACGATGGCAAAGCTCGAAACGAACGTGATGACGACGCCGAAGCTCGGAATGGACGCGACGAGATTGAGCTCGGAGCTCACGACGACGAAGCTTGGGACTACAGATTGGACGCGACGACGACGACGATGACGACAAAGCTCGGAATGGACGATGACGATGACGAAGCTCGGAGCTCGATTGAACGCGCGAACGATGTGATGACAAACGACGTCATTGTTGGACGCGACCTTGACATAGAACGCGACGACAAACCGCGAGTATGCGACGACGACGGACGTCTGCACGACAGCGAAGGCGAGTAGGCGACGACATTTTGAGCTCGAATTGAGCTCGACGAGCCACTCGACAGCGAAACGAGTCGAGCTCGAGCTCGGTATTTGAGAGTCGAATTCGACTCGAACAACCCCTGGCTCGAGCTCGACTCGACTCGTTTGCACCCCTAGCACCGTCCAAGGAACAGAGAAGACGGAAGGAAGAAGATGAGAGAAATTCTATAGATTGTATTTCATATATGCTAATTACAGACCTATGAGTTATATATAGAAACTGGTATAGTAAATAGAACAAGAAAGTACAAGAAGCTGACGTGGCTATTTCTTTAATAGGATGACCTGGCATTAGTTCTTAACAACCTCCCTCAAATTAACCATTTTGGGATCGAATGGTTAATTTGGATCTTAAGAACTGAAACCGGTTGATAGGAAGAACTTCGGTGAGTATGTCGGCGAGCTGATCGGTAGTGCAAACGTGAGCTATGCTTACCCGTGGTAGGAGACTTGCTGCGGGAAAATGGCTGTTTATGGCTCTTAGAAATATTACAAGAGATGCAAACAGTATTAGAAAAAGAATGTGCTAATTCGGGAATTATTTTGGCAAGAGTGCTAAGCTTGCGGCCGTGAGGGCCTAGACGATCATGCCAGAGGTTCTGGTTCGACGGAGGCGTTGTGAGGGCGATTGCATTACCCGTGGTAGGAGACTTGATGTGGTACAGACCATTGCGTTTGGGACAGCAGAGAATCACCTGATTGTCCTGAAGATTCTTTATAACAAATTCATTAGTGGTGAAGGAAATAGAGACATTATTGTCGGAAGTTAGTCGAGACACAGATAAAAGATTGTGCGATATGCATGGAACGTGCAAAATCTTGCGAAGGTGAAGCTTACGATTGGACTCAGGTAGAGGCAGTAGGCCTTGGCCCGAGTTCTGGATGGAGAGGTTGCTACCGTTTGCGATGGAGACGGAGTTGTAGCCGTTATATAGTACGGGATGGTGGAGGTTCGTTGCGTCTGCGGTCAAATGGAAGAAGCGTCGGAGTCCAAGATCCAGTCATTCGTTGTGGCTTGTTGTTGTTGTGCCATAAGAGCTCTTTGATTTGTCGGCGGGGCGTAGTTGAGGTTGCATCGGTGCCAGCAGTTCAGAGCTGCGTGGCCGGATTTCCCACATATCTGGCATATTGGGCGCTGTTGCGGAGTTCTTGCGGAAGATTGTGAATCGGCTAGAATCTAAGACCGATCGGTAGTCTGCTATCGTTGGAAAGATCCTCTACCGCGGGCCTTTTCCCTCGATAGCCACGGTTTGCGAAGAACACCGCGGAGTCCGAGTTTTGAGTTGCTTTGAAGTTTTGATTCTGCAGGTTTATCTCTTCACTACTAAGTAGTGAATAAAGATCATCAAGGTGTATGGGTTAGAGAGAAGTTTGAATTGCCGTTTTGAAAGGGTTGTAGGCGGTGGGCAACCCATTAAGGATATAAAGGACTATGTCTTCTATGTCGACGGTAGAGCCGGCTGCCGCGATGTTGTCGACGATCGTCTTGATTTGATCAAGATATTGTTGCATAGTTCGATCTCTCATCTGAATTTGATGTAGCTCATTTTTGAGCTGAATTACTCGGGATCAATTTGTGGGTTGAAGGCGACGTTCGAGAGTGTGCCAGGCATCTTGAGCGGTGTGAAGAGTGATCACAAACAGAAGTATTGACGGAGAAATGGTAGACAACAGGGCAAAAACAAGGTTGCGGTCTATGAGCTTCAAGCAATTGAGTTCTTGAACGGCAGAATCCGAAGGGCGGGGAGCGAGACTGGTGAGATGCTCGCCATACCCATTGACGGAGAAGTGTTGGTGGAGTTGTAATCTCCAGATCGCATAATTTTCGGAGGTAAGAAGATTGGGTACAATGTTCTTGACATTGGAGATTAAAATTTTGAGATGGGGAGGAATGAGGAGTTCGGATTCTTGGTTGAAGAGGTTTGATGAGGTTCTGCCCTCCGCACCAGTCCGACGAGAGTCGGCCATATCTTCTTCGGCCATGACGGATCAAAGAGACGCTGTGAAGCTTTGCGGCTCTAATACCATGAGACGATTCAAGCACCGGCCAAAGAACAAAGAAGCCGGAAGGAAGAACATGAGAGAAATTCTATAAATTGTATTTCTTATATGCTAATTACAGACCTACGAGTTATATATAGAAACTGGTATAGTAAATAGAACAAGAAAGTACAAGAAGCTGACGTGGCTATTTCTTTAATAGGATGACCTGGCATTAGTTCTTAACATCTCGTTCGCTGAACTCATATTTTTCATGAGAAACTTGTTCAAGGGCCAGAACCAAAGGCAATGGATATGCCTCAAGTCTACATACCGGTTGAAGAAATCGCGGGAACAGCGGCCACCTGATGCGATCTGAAAGAGTATTGTTTATAATCTTTGTTAGAATATATATATATGTATATATATAGTTCTCTTTTTGTCATTTTGAGTCATGTGTTTTATAAACCCGTTTTCTTTTATTTTTGCAAGGCTCTTCTTTCGTCACGACATAAATTTGGTTAGTCCATTTGTCTTTCATTTGTAAAGTGATTTCTCCTACATTGCTTTCGCCTCGCAACCATTCATCACACTTAGGCTTCTTCTTTGTCACTTAAAAATGTCATCGATAGCCAAAACACAGATTTATAGGATATAAATTATTTGTTGATTCTTTATCGTGACTTCTCTCAACTTTCACTCTATATCTATTGCAACTTTTCTCAACAACTCTTCTTCTCTTTAACATATTTGTGTGAAATTTAATTATCTGCTATATATTGTTACACCACATACAAATACAAAATAATTTATCTAAATAAAAAATAGTAATTTTATATATTTATAATATTTACTTTTATTTTACATTTTTTATTCACGTGCACTTTATTTTTGCTTCCTCAAATCTTCTTTAAGGGCAATGACGATGATGATTTAGAATTTAGCCATAGAATGCACTGTGCACATGATAGCTATGAAATGTCCCTATATTTCCTAAGATATGGCCTGTTTGGATGTCCTGTAAGCAAAACTCATCTACTTATGTCATGGATTCCTTGCCATATGAGCCTTCTTATTTTTGTTTGTTTCTTGTTTGGATGTCCTCCGACCCCATGTAGTGGGATAAAGGCTTGATGTCGTTGTTGTTGCTTGTTTGGATGTCCTGTTTGTTTCTTCTTCTACTACTTATTCTTGCTCTTTGCTCTTGAAGCATAGCTCTTTCAGTTGAGCCAAGCTCCCTGATAATCTCTTCACTAATAAAATCCTCTCCAGCTTCTGCTGTTGTGGCTGTTACAATATATCCATTATCAACTCTTGTTGCTAAGCTTTACTATGTTTCTCTGGCTACTAGATGATGAATTTCTTTTGGAGAGGCTGTGACAGTTATTGCTAACAATTTACAATTTGGTCATGTATAATTCTTCCTCTACTGTAACAATGAGGCATCAAGGATGGCATGAAGCTTCTCTAGAATCTTACTTGTAATGCTATTAAATACTTATGGCTGTGCTTCTTCTACCAATGTTGCTGCTACTTCAGGAACCTACGTATATAGAGTTGTTTACTTGGATGTTCCAACTTTGTGTAAGATTCTTTGCAGCGGTAGGATCTGGATGCATTTGTTTGTCACACGCTTGCAACCTCATATTGTCGTATGTTCATTATCAAGGTTGTAATGATATCCCTTCTCTAATATTCTTACTCTTTTTTAATATACACCTATATATGTTTGCAAGCATATGCTTTTGCAATTTTGGCTATCAATTATTTGCTTGATGGCCTTATTGATTTAACCCGCTAATGTTGGATACACTTAATGACCTATGAAAAAATTTGCATTGTATTCATCACAATCTGTTTTTGGTGTAGAAGATAACGCTACTGCTCTTTATGTCTCTATGTATATCAGTTTCACTTTCTATGCATTGTTGAGGCATTAAGAATGTTTTGAGAAGGTAACCGGTGTTGCTAAATATTTAATTTCAAGAATTATATATGAATGATTGATGAGAAATTTTATTTCTCTCTACGTAATATTTTCCATTGATGATCTAAGGCTCTTCTCTATTCATTTCCTTGGGGTATGTGATAATCCCCAACTTGTGAATTATGTAATGAGTAAATGATGATTATATTTCTTTTAACCTGTAAAAAGAACATCATAAACATAGATCAACATAGATGTACAAAATGAGCTGAAATCTCAATACTCCATTCTAATATTGTGCTTTGGATGTTCTTATAATAATCTTTCTTGTATCATTAATGCAGGGACATTATATTGATCAATGTAGTCATTCCCTTGATCATTCCTCTTCATCTACAATGTCTAAAAATGACGAGGTGGTGGTGATGAAATAGAAAATAAAAGTAGCATAGAAGGATCTAACAGTGGTAGAGCTTAATGAATTGGGAGACAACCAAAACACTAAAGAGAGAGAAAAGGTATCTTCAAAAACGCCTTGCTCAAAAATAGAGTACTAGAGTTGGTCCTCGTATTGATTGCCTAAGAGAATACCCTTCTTAGCTGCAATGCAAGACACTCGAACAGGTCAATCTTTCACCAACCACCCAGACTTGGTCTCAAACTCCATTCCCTTCTCCTTACACAATCCTTGTGTGAGGCATTCTCCACAACCAGCTCAGATGTGTGTTCATGTCCTAACAATCTCATTTACACTCCCAAACTTAAAGAAGAAAACAAAACTCTGCACAAATTTAGATCAACAATGAAGCAAAATAATGCAGCAACATTGGCTAAGTTTTTGGAGTATTGAAGCACAATTTTTATAGGTAAATGCAAGGCCATAGTTGAGGAAGAGAAAATATCGGATTCTTTGATAAAGATGATTGTTAATTTGATAGCATAGATGTTCATTGAGTAAAAAGCTCAATAAAGAAGATGAATTGTTATAGAATTTTCTTATGAAATTCTTTCCAATTCAAATTCAAATAAACATTTGATCAAATATAATATAAAGAAGTTATAAAAATAAATACATACAATGGAAGCAACAAATATAATAAATAAAATAATGCATACAAGCTAAGAATACACTAACAAGTTTTAAAATATAAACACATTAGTAATATGTGCATATAATTATCGAATTTAAGCACAAAATGAATAATGTAATCTTCAATTACAACTAAATTAACTTATTTTTAAGTTGAATTTATAGATGCAATAACACAACGAATTAACTACATTAAATGAATTATTAAGAAATTAAGAATGTTCAAAGCATAAAGAATAATAACACTGCACCAACTTATACGAGAAAATATTTTTTTTGTCAAACACCAAAATAAAAATATCCTCAAAATAGATTATGTTTATACAACTAAATCTAGAGCTAAAATACAAACATATAACTACTAAACATAATGAGAAATAATTATCTTAACTCAAGAGATTTTATAACCTTAATTAACATAAAAGATTCAAGCATATAATAATGGCAATGTAAATTTATAAGTAAAAATATTTTATAAAGCAAGACGAATAAGAACAATATCATGTGATTCAAATAAGCTGTAGGCCCAGATGATTTTTTAACGAGTATGTTTTGATGTTCATATAATAGTACTTGAGTTTAACAAAATGATTTCATATATATATATATATATATTTGATAGATAATACTATTGATATAGCATGTCATAACTTAACTTTAAATTTTATTATATCATTTTTATTTTTAAAATTTTCTTGACATGCACTATGTACACGTGCATTATACTAGTATATATAAGCGCAATTAAAATGACAAGGAAAAATTTTCCGCAAATCCATGTTTTGTCTAGTGCATGTTGAGTCAACACAACAAGAGAATGGGGGTGGGAAAAAGAGACTGATTAATATGAAATCTGCCACAACAACCCTGACCAAAAAGAACATTGAGAGAAGACATCATAGTCTTTTTAGAATTATCATCTCTAACTCTTATAACAGAGGCTTGAAGTTTACCCCTCGCCCAAATAATTTCAAGATTCAACAAGATGCTTTTTTATACTATTTGAAGAGATTCCTAAGAATATCAACTAATCAAAATTATAGAATAATAGAGAACAATAAATATTGCTTCCAAATATGCATTAAGTAACAAGTTAAAAGTAATATGACGATTCTCACTTTGTCGACTACTTCAGAAAATATAAGAAAAGCAAGTGTTATAAGTCCATGAGCACCATAAATGCTTTCTTTTCACATGATCACTGGTCACCAGGGATGCTCTTGATGATGTCAGAGTCACCTGAAGGAGCACAGGACAATTTAAAATCCAAAAATAAACTCTCCAAAAAAAAAATACAATATAAAATAGTGTATTGTATTATCATACAGAAGGGTACCAACCTGGATCAATGATGCTAAGGCAGCACACCCGAAAATATTTGCCACAAGCAGTTCCCAAATCAACATTATCTGTTTTTTGAGTAAATTTGATGTTACATGATAGAAATAGTTGAAACTGTATAGTTTTCTATAGAGTAAGAAGAATTGTTCATAATGATCAACAGGTTTTCTTCCAACTAATTAGTCTGTTAAATTTATTCTCACGTAATTTTTATCAATGCTTATTTGTTTATCCCAATTCCTTATTAGTAGTCCATAATAGCCACTATTTACATTGTATAATTATGATGCAATAATCCAGAAGAAAGGAGTTCAGTAAAACTCACTTCCGTTAAAATGGTGGACTCCGACCTTGCCCAACATTGCATAGTACTCAATTTCAGATTTACGAAGAGGAGGACAGTTGTTTGCTATGATCACCAACTTGCCTAGAGAATAAACATATTCAAAACAGATTAAGCCAATTCTCTCTAATATGGGTCACACCAAATTCCATGTTAACCGATAGTGCAAATCCTTAAACGGACACTTTTTTAAACTCAACCTCTTAGCTAGCTAGTCTTTCAGTTTAACATATCTTTTTAAATTGCTAAGACTCAATAAAGTTCTAATCATGTTTAACATTAATCAAACTAGTTATGTGCGTACATCTTAATTCCTCGAGTATTCACAATTGAAGAATATGGGAATAGTTAGAGTATACTTTTTTTTAATTTCTATTGTAAGGATTGGAAAAGTCTAGTGTCAACAAGCAAATAATTAAAACTCAACAACAAGTTAAATGCTAAAAAAAAGTCTGGCGATGGTGGTGACGATAGCTGGTGGTGTTCACCAGCTATGATAATTGAAAAATACAAGTGAGTTCTTTAGTTCTTTCAACTTTTGAACCTCCCCTTATGTAGAGAATGATATCCTATTTATAACCTTTTTTAGAAGGCATTTTGGTAAATTTGACTAAAATCCAAAGCACTCCATCATTTGATCTTGGTTATATATTATTTATCAAATATTTAAATGTCTTAACGATGTTAGAAATGAGTGATATTGAGCTCATTAGTTTCATCTCATCAAGTAACTTGATTTGAATATAAGCATGATATAATTGGAAGTCATTTGGTCCAAGAATTCATGTTCAAAAGTTTTCAAACATAATTCAAGTGATTGAATTGAGATCATTTGGAATCAAATCATTTGTAGCATCGATAGGTTCATCTTGCCGAGATGTTCAGTTTGACTATAAGTTTGCCAAAATCAGAGTTTGAATTATCATGAATTTAATTCTAAAAGTTTTCAAGTCAAATATTGCATTGAGATTTTTTGTTGATGCTGTGAATTTTTTGGAGTCGTATCATTACTCAAACTCAAATATACAAAAAATGTACTAAATACTAGTCATTATATATTTTTCCCCCACATTTGAGATACATAAACTTCATTGATTTTAATACATCAATTGCCGATATCCTCAAATAGCAAATGTAAATCCTATTCAGTAAGGAGAGTTCTAGTAATCCGTTTAATGAATATAAAGGGAACTCCTATTCAATTTCACAGCATTTTTGTTACAGGATAGTCGCCTTTACAAGCTAAAGTTTCCTAATCCATGTATACAATTTTTTATTTAATCTTCAAATTATGTTCTTCATATTCATGATATAAGCTTTACTAATAAAATTTTTTGGAGCACCCCTTTTAAGCAAAAAAAAAAGCTAGAAGATTTCAAGAATGCAAACTATCAAAAATTCAAAATCTCAACAAAAAAAAAAAGAGAATGAAACAACAAAAAGATCAATAAAGTGAGTTTCAAACATCAGCAAGCCACATTCTACAGTTAAAAAGAGAAAAACCTTGCTTAACTTACTTAACAATAGCTTAAGAACTTCCTTCAAAGCACATTTGCAGATTAAAGTGCACTACTAGTCTACTAGTAGTAGTAGTAGTAGTAGTTTCTAACTACAATGGCATCTCTAAAATGAAATTTTAAATTAATGACTACTGAAAAAATAGCATCTTACGAATAACTTAATTATTAGAAATAAATTATAAGGCTACAGGATAACCAAAGTACATAAGATGACAATTTTACTTTTGCAAGAAATTTAGTTTGTTGGTTTGAAAATGCAATCCAATGACTCTTCTTGGCTACAGAACCGCACGTTACCAATTGCATATCCATTCAGCCTTAATTTATGGTTCATAATAAAACAGTACAAAAATCAAGCTCACAAGAACAATCAGCAAAAAGTAGAAAGAGAACTAACAAGTGATCGAATAGCAGATACAAGAAAAAGATAAAATAAAATGGATAAAAAAGAGCAAAAGCATCAACCTTTATTGTTCCTGAGGGATCTAAGAACGGTCTTGTAGCCAAGAGTGTACTTTCCGCTCTTCATCACAAGAGCTAGCCTGTTATTAATGCTCTCCGTGCTTTTCTTCTATAATAAACAGTAGAACAGAGAATGATCGATATCAAAGGATAGAACCGAATTAAAACAATTACGATCCAAATGAATTCATGACTTTACCGTTTTCTTAGTGGGTGCCATTGTTGCTGTTCCAAGTTAGAAGGGAAAGAGATGCAGAAAACCAAGATCCCAATGCTGGCGGCGAAAAACCCTAACGCCATGGAGATTGTCTATATGAAAATATTTGTAAGTTGCAAATGATATGACTATTATACCCTTTGGTTTTGGTTGTAGTTAGATTTTAAATCCTTGTGCTTTTCATATACCTAATATCAGAATTTTTTTTTCAGAATATTTATATTTATTTTATAATGCTTAAATATCTTTAATATTTAATTTATTTAAAGTGACATATCCATTTTCATAGATATCTTTTTAATGATTTAGATACTGTAATGTTATATTTGCAAACCTAAAAATTTTAATATTTCATGTGTAAAAATGTAAAATTTAGTGGCATGTATGTAAAATTATTTTTATTAATGAGATTTACATAAATAAATTCAAAATTTATTTAATTTGAATATTTCATGTTCAAAATTATAATTTACTTACAAATTTGTCATCACTCTAACCACCATCAATATCATTATTATCACTAACACCAGTATATATTATCGTCAACACTTGTTGACTATTTTTATAGTCCTGTTAGTAGTGTTCATATCCACATCATATGAATAAAAAAGTCAACATTTTTTAAGATATTTAATATATTTTATCTGATATATAAATATAAATAAAATAGAAATAAAAAATAAAAGAAAAAAAGTGATTTTAAATAGGCCCTTAACTCTAAGAAATAAAATTGATCTCACCGTCACCTTTTAGAGCCCAATAGAGTCTCAACACAAGACTGGCATCAAAATAACTCAGAAAATTTAACTTATACTACTTTAAAACTCTCACCTATTTAAAAAATGTACAGAGCAGAATCAGAATATAATAAAACTTTTAATACATAACCAATTAAAGAGCCAGAAAAAATAATCCAATATAGATTATTTCCACATTGGGCCCAAGCAAATAATGTAAAATGCTAAATTAACATATTTTATCAAATGTACTGAAGTTCAGAAATGCTTCAATTTGGCCTAACGCTATAACTTCCTAGGTAAGAGAGAAGCTCATAGCAGGAGAGATCATCAGTGAGCAAGGAAGCAACTCCCGAAGGGGGCAAATTATTGCATCCGGTCACCCGATGTGAAGAATAGGTTCGGACATTCAATATTTCTTTGTTGATTCACACGATTCTCTTTTTATAGTTTCAGTCAAAGCCTCTCTTAAGACACTCATAATATTATAAAGGGAGTTTTACATACATACCACTTAATACTATTCTATTTACATATTTAACACCTAAAACTTTAATATTACATAAATACCACCCATAGTTCATTTTCATACAAAATATGAGTGGTAGAAATGAAATATATGAGTGGTAGGAAAGAAATATAAGTGGTATATTTGATATTAAAATAATATAGGGTGGTATGGATGTAATATTAAAATTTTAGGTGTTAGATATGTAAATAGGATGTTATAAAGTGGTATGTATGTAAATTTCCCTATTATAAATTAATTCTATATTAAAAATAAAAAGTCTAAAAAAACTTAAAATCTTAATTTCAGACTATGCAATCAAGCTCAACAAATGAGCTCGATCAATAGAGCCAATCTTGAGTTTATAAAATTTTTAATAATTCGAGCTCAAACTTAGTAAACGAGCTCAAGCCCAATAAGAACTAAATAATCCTGGCTCGATTAAGCAGATATTTGAAAATTCATTTACAAAACTATATGTTCTTAAATAACAAGGACTATTTCATAAAGATTTGTAACACTTTCATTCCACTACCATCTAACATTACCAAAATATAAATTTTAAATAAAAGCACAATTTTTATCATATAACTATCTTTATTTCGATATAATTTTAAATATATTTTTTTACTGATTTATAAATATAAAAATTCATAAGAGCTAGGCGTTAATCTCTAATAAATTTGACCCTTTTTGAACAACAATGACCAAATTGTTAAGATAAACCTTCATTAACGAATATTAAATATTCACTCTATGAAGTCAATTAAACGGCACCTACACTCTTCCTTACGTCTTTCTGATGTGACCAACACATAATAATTAATTTGCATAAAAAAATGGCCTAATCTAAATAATTGGGGTGGGTAATGCTAAATTATGATGATTACTTCTGCTTTTAATAATATTAAAATATTTTTTTAAAAGCAATCGTAACATAAAAGCAAATGTAAAAGATGATTCGAAATGATCTCTTAAAAAAATGGTTTAAATAGCGAAATTAATGTAATTTAAATAATAAGAAAGCTTTGTATGCACGTATTTTCACCTCAATTGTCGTATTTTTTTGGGGTTATGTGGATAAACTCACCACATATCACATATATGAAATTCAAACTTAAAATTTTTCAGTCGGTAGCAAAACCTCCTAAACATTAGATCAAGATGAGCTACGAGATTGTAGTGTACTTATTGACGTATGGATTACCACCCGTTCATTCACTTACCGATAGTTCAAAGGCGGCACTGATGTAGAATTTTAGGCGAGCTTACAAAGCATTTGTAATAATTAGAAATCCGCTCCTTATATAATTGTTTTTCATGATTTTTTTCTAACATGTTCGTATACATAATTTGATTAAAAAGTCAAAATAATCTTAAAATAATGTTCAAACTATTCATATATGATCAATTTAATCCAGAGTATCATGTTATCTCAAATTTTCCCCTCAATTATACAAAATTGATCCAAAATAATCCCTAATGTTGTAATTATGATATAAAATTAACCTCAATTAATTTAGCCTCTCAATTTTATAAAATTGATCACAATTTAATATCAAAATGATCAATTTGAATCAGTTTTGTATAGTTAATGGATTAAATTGGAGCAACGTTATACTATGAGATTAAAATACCCTATATGAATAGTTGAGAGAACTATTCAAAATTATCCCTTAAAAAATGTATAAATATATGTTGCAACTTGCAAGTAGTGATGAGAAAAGCTGATCATTTGTATTAAATAGTAAGATATTACATAAATTAAGTAAAAAATGAGACACAACTCATCTTGACATGTTGGTTGAGAGCTTAGGCTTCAAATTAATAGGTCTTGGATTTGAGTTTTTATGCATGTGTTGTTTGTGTGAATTTGTCTTAAATGGGCCTAAATATATTAAAAAAAAAAATTTGAGCTGTTAAAATTACCTACATAATAAATGTAAAAGGGGCTAAAATAAATCAAATAATCAGAGCACGACTGTAAAATAAATTAAAAAGGGTCTCAAACAAAATTAATTATAGTGCAAGATCTAGAAAGACATAAAAGATCCTTATCGAGAATACAAGCCATGCCACTCCAAAAAAACTATAAATAGAGCTCTCATTCTTCACAAGAGGACTCAAGTGAGAAGAGAGAGAAGAAGAGAAGAGAAAAAGGGGAAAGGGAGAATCATCTCCTCCTCGACCACCGCCGGAGTTCTTTCCGCCGCCTGAATACACCATAATTCTGTCGGATTTTCGGGAGATGCTTGAATTCTGCAAAACTTTGTAAATTTGCTTCAAGTTAGAAGAAACGGATTGTAATCTGATCGTCCTGACTTGTGGGACGAATCAGCTTCTTTTAATTTACAAAACACAAGTTGAACTTTTCAACTGGGCGTGACCCCGTGGTTTTTTCCCTCTTTCGGGTTTTCCACATATAAATCATGGTGTTCATTTTCTTTTCTGTTTGTGTGCTGAATATTCGTGCAACGCTCAGACGTGAATTTGTAAACTCTACCGTCGCGTATATTCTAGCCGGCAACAAATCTCTATAAAACTTTTGCCAAAATATCAACCATACATACATAACAATTATATATCACTAAATAAACAAAATAAAATATAGCACTAATTGTGAAGTTGAGCCAGTCAAAAATATCATCTATTAATCAATAACTGACAGCAAATGCGAATTTGCCTTTTCTTCAAGTCCGTCTGAATACCCTCAAAGCGCAAATTCGTCCGAAGCTTCATCGTCTTTATCTATCTATACGCACAAAACCCTCAAAACGATTGCCAGCAAATAATAAGTCACAGCTTTGATCTGCACATTATTTCATGCATTTGGTCAACCCAAATTTTATTTATGTTCATTTTCTTCTGGTCAATAAAAGCTAATATTATAGTAACGAGTTCAGCAAACTTCAACGCTAAGACAATCAAGACCAATGGCAACAATGCGATCAACCTTAGACTCCTCTCATAGCAAGCCAGGTGTTCTATATCCCACCATTTCCCCACGTCACAAGCGCTGAAGAATCTTGCTCAATATATATCTAGATTAAGACAATCAAGACCAATGGCAACAATGCGATCAACCTTAGACTCCTCCCATTGCAAGCCATGTGTTCTATATCCCACCATTTCCCCGCGTCACAAGCGCTGAAGAATCTTGCTCAATATATATCTAGATTGGCTTCTTTTGGACTACTGTTTCAGATTTTTAGCATAAAATTTTAATTTTGTTTACTATAAAATTGCTTTAAGAACCAGTAAGAAAGCCATCTCAAGCAAACTCTTGGTCTTTGTTTGGGAAAATTATTAGGTCCAGACATCGGACATAAAGATACATCCCGTGTCCAATAAAATATTGACATGTGAAATGTACACGTGTCTGCGGAATTTTAAGCCAAATGCGTCAAAAGTGCAGGTAAAGCGCACATAAAGTACAGTCAAAAAGAGCAGTCAAAGCACAGTCAAAGTGCACTCAAAGCTAGCACAGTTAAAATGCAGTTAAAAAGTACAGTCAAAGCACAGACCACGTGGCGAATTTTAATTGGACATCCGGACCTAATAATTTTCTTTTTGTTTGGGGCGACTTTTTTAATGTTTCTTAAATTAATGTTGTAATAAAAATATTAATTTTTTTCTACTAAAAATTTACTTTAAAAATAATAAAAAAACTGTTCCAAAGCAAACCTTAATACAGAATTCAAACGTACATAGCCCGCCACTCAAATATTTATCGAAGCACATGCATCTCCATATATAAAGAGCAATATAGTCCTTCAATACAGGCTGTGTTACTTACACCGAGGTGTTTTGCTCCAGATTAACTAATGGGGCTTCAACCTCTCCTTCACCTTCCAAGGCCATCCAAGAGCGTAGCT